CTTGCATTTCATTGGATCCAACCCAAAACAAAAGTTGCGCGGCGATACCTACGCGAAGACTCAGTTTTTCGCTGAGTGGACCTACTGGTTATACTGTGATAACCGCTCAAGGGCGCCAATCATACAAAATATATTGTCTATTCGCTCGCGCGCTTTTCCCCCACTTTACTGATAAACGTCAAAAAAAGTGGTCTTTCACGATGGCTGCCATGACGTAGTTCCGTCCACGGATCAGCCTACCCTCACTACCGATACATTACTCGCTTCTTCTTTTTACGCAATGAATACATAATAGATTTTTCGAGCAGGCTAATTTAGAGGGAGCTAATGTACTATAAAAGCTGTGAACACATAAAGAGAAATACACATTTATTATCAAGCTGTCGAAGTGAAGTTATTCAGTATAACAACCAAACAATTCTCGCAAAAGTTGCTGACGTTTGCATATATAAAAAAGAAGCTAAGTTGGAGAGAACTCCTTGGTTTGTACGATAATCATTATTACATTATTGTACATTATTGAGTCGAATCTCAGTAAACACCAACAGTAACATAACATTGATGTTAAAATATCAGATTCAAAAATTTAATATAAATTTAATATAACACCATATGTTACTTTGTAATAGTTACATTATTAAATATGACATTTTAATATTTATGTTATGTTAACATTTGTTTATGTTTATTGAAATGTATAAATTCCACTGTATTGCTAATAATTACATTTTTAATGCAGCTTTTGCGATAACAGATTCTTCTTCGTCATATCAATCGTTTTAATATCTATTTTGTTAATATAAATAAAAAGATATACTTTTCAATGAATATGATAGGAAGAAATATAATTTAAGAAACTGTTCTAATCGTAAGATATGATATAATATTTTTATCAATAATTATCATTTGAATTAGACTGCCTATGTGAATAACATAACTAAATTCGAGAGAGCCTTCTGCGGTTACGGCTGAATCTTGGTGCCTAACGAATTTTATATGAATTTTTTAACTCCATGTTTAGCTGTTCAACTGTGCGCTGAATAAATTTTTGGATTTGCAATTAATAACTGAGATTGAAACAGAAATATCATATTGATCTTCAATTCTTAATAAATCATGCTTATATTATGCATTTTAAAATACTAAAAAGATGTTATTGCGAAAAATATTTTCTCAGCCAGGATTTAATATTTTTATATTTGACAGTAAGATACAGCGTTTAATTATTCAATTGACTTTATAGTTTCTATCGATCTACTAGAGAATTCTTTAATCGCAAATTTTTTGATGGACTTGCTTTGGATTCTTCAGAAGAAATTTTAAAAAATTAAAAATATAATTTAAAAAATATAAAATTTGAAATATATTTATATACCTTTGCATAATAAGATTTACATAAATATTTTAAATTTAAATGTAATTTTTTTTTTATATTATAGTCAAAGTTTAAGTTATTAACTTATTTTTCCCTGGCGTGTTATGTATATTTGGCGATATCTTTGGCGTGATGTCTTTTTTATTGAATTCGGAGCGATTTTATCAACGCTACGTATACGGTTAGAATATAACTTTTAATTAACTTCAACCATGAAACGAAATTGCTGAGCAATCTTACAATGTTATCACGCTAGGTTGCAAATGATTATAGTATAGGCGTATTCGGGGAGCACGCTTTGTCAGTGCTATCAGCGTTATTATATTTATCATTTATTAGACGTACTTAAGACAAGAATAGAATGATGCGATAACTGTTTGCATGCCCATCGAATATGTCTTATAACACAATCCAATATGGTTAACGAGTGTATTTGTTCAATATTACCCAAGCAGAACTTATTTTCATACTAATTACAATGATGGAGCATTGAAATCTCCGCGCACGTATTACGTACGTTACGGTTTATTGAATTTGCAATTCTTTTATGTTCATCATAAGCATCTTATTTCGACTCATCTGTATTGTCAAAATACAAACGGAAGCTGCTTTCAATATTTTAACAATATCATAATTATGTTTAACATACAATTCATAATGATAAAAGCAAATATACAGAGGGTATTTTAAATGATCCATTAAGATTTCTCGAAAACTATGATAGATACAAAAAAATGTTTCAAACAAAAGTTGTTTGACTTCAAAGGGGACATAAAATGATACCATTGGTTTGACTTTGGGTGGGGCTGTCAAAGTTACTTCAAATTTTTTAAATAGAATCCCCCATTTTTTATTGCATATTTTTGTAGCTTATCTCGAGAGCTTTCAAAAACACTATAATAAAATATTTTTTTATTAAGCACTTTTCGAATTATAAGACTTGAAAATTACAATACCACTGACATTAGCATTATCCGAAGTATCCGAACAATGACTAAAACCTGTAAAAATATTGTATTTTTGCAGAATACCTGTAGACAAGTGACTCATAATGTCAACTGTGATATTAGTATTCATTGGTTTGCTGTGTGCATTAATACCGTCGATGCATTCTCAAGGTATGCTTTTTATCATCTTTTTGAATCCACGGATTCCATTACAATCTTTAGCTCATTGTCAGTCAGAAACTTTGTTTAGGTACTTTTTTTGTAGAGAAATCAAATATGTCAAAATGTCATCGAAAAATGCGCTTAGCTTTGTAAACATTACCTATCCGTATACTTGTCCATTTACATAATATTAATTTTTATAATTTTTTAAAAATTCGTAATATTACAAAGTACACATTACGGTGGAACAAGGCACGCGAATAAACTTAATTTTTCCATTTTATTTAAGTACATACTGATATAATCATCGCGTAATAATGCTGGTATTATTATAGAATAGTATTTTTTCGATCACAGTGTATATATATATTTACAATGTAATGAAACTTTTTATTTTTTCATTATATATATTGAGAAATTACAGTATTAACGTAGAACTGTCCGAACATGGCCAAAGTCGGATCTTTTAACCCTAGACTACCACACCATATTTGCCACCCAAATTTACCACACTGGGTAAAATTTACCCGGCCTACCTATTTTGTTGCGTAACTTCGGTTCAAACGCTGCATCAATTTAGAACTTTTTTTTTAATCTATACGCCAAACAGTAAGAAAGGTAACTGAATGGATAGTAACACTCAAAGATCTAAAGGACATAAACAATTTGCAAAAATGTACATCAGCTTTTATATCTTTTC